AAGAGCTCGAGATAAGACAATAACAAATTTCTTTGTTTTTTTTTTTTGTCTTTTTTTTCGGTACTGGGGATCGAACTCACGACTGCCTGCTTGCAAGGCAGGCGCTTATGCCACTGAGCTAAATCCCCAGCCCCAACAATAAGAAATTGATAGTAGTTTCTACTTTTCCCTCTTTTTGCTCTTTTTTTAAAAAAAAATTTTATTTAAAGGAAGACTAAACAAAATAAAATGGGTAGAAATAATACATACTTTCAAAGAAAGAATAAACAGAAATCACTAGTTGATATTTACATATTGTCTTCTTACAAATAGTTATTCAAGATACAAAAGTGGATCATGTAAAGTGGGGTTTCAGACAGCGAGACTACAACCAGTTCTGTTCAATAAAAACTTAATAATATGGTTATCAATCCTACTTATACATGCAGTTATCAATATCTTCATTTTTGTTGAGATTGAACAAGCCCAAGCAGGCTAAAATCACTCTAAACAAAGAATAATACTACTGGTACTCTGAACAAAGAATAATAGTATTGTTGGATTTCACATTATGATACTTCTGGATCAGCACTGTAGTGTCTCTTTTTCTTCAAAGTATTTGTTCATTCCATCATGTGTCATAAAATCAGCCTCTCATAAACTGTTTATTGGTTCTACGCATGCATGAGTCTTAACATGTATCCTTTCTATGTTAGAGGGAGGAACAAAACAAAACAAGACAAAACAAAACATATTCCTATAAATACTTGAAATGAAAAAGACATATAAGACCACTGTACAAGGGGTTCTACCATGATTACTGTGTTGTCTTTTGTTATCTTCAATATAATTGGCTATATCATCAGACCATAGTATAATTGAATATAATAGTATTAATAAAAACACAATTTTGTATGTAGTATAAAACTTCAAAAACAGATAGTAATCAAACCAGAATGGGTATTGTAGCGAGTCTTGTCATCTTCAGTGTAACTGCCTAAATGCTCAGACTTGATACTATCAACCATATAAGTTTTGAATAAAATCTGTCAATACCAAACAACAATTAAACAAACCAGATTTAACTAAGATAAGTCATGATAAACCAGTATAAGTCATACAGGGCTCCAAATTAAGGTAATATGAAATTAGAGATGATTACTGTGCTATATCCTGGTGTTTTGGGGATAGCTGTCTGTGTCCTCAAATCTAATGCAAGTAGACAAACTGGGACAGAATAAGATCTATCTAAGCAGAGTGGTGTGAGTAATACGGGTTTTAATTCCTGATACACCATTAACAGTATCTTCTGCTGTCTTTTTAGAAACCATTCCTCACCTTTCACTTTCCGAGGGTGCACTGTGTATTTTTGGGTCTCACCTAGACTCTTGGTTTTAAATTGGGGGATGGGGGGCAACCTGCTATTTACCTGAATGGTTCCAAACCTTCTCCCTCCTGTACCTGATCTCTAATTATATTTCTTTACCTATTAAAGCCTGTCTTTCCAAACTGTCCACAAATACTGGTCTAGTTGCCCTATTACTCTCTGGCTCCCTGTCCTATAGAGCATTGTTTCCCCATATTTGATTTTCAGTCCATATACCCTTTTTCAGGTTAATTATATTTCCTATATAGAGAATCTCAGTGGACCCTACTTCCTGATCTATTCTACCTGTGATTCTGTCCCTCTCTTTTTTAAATTTAGTGTATCAGGGCCATCTATATTAGAGTTTATAACCAATCTTCTCTGCCTCATATCTGTTATGCTCTTTGTTTGCCATTAGTTGTCTGCTTGTCTTCTTCATTCTACTTTCTGCTCCATTTATTGAGGCCTCTCTGCCACTGTTCCTGGAATCATGGTACTTTCTCTCTCTCTAGAATGCCCTGTAGTATTCTCTGTAGAGCTGGATTAGTGGTCACGAATTTCCCCAATTCTTCTTTGTTTGGAAGGATTCTGTTTCTCCATTAATTTCTAGAGACAGTTTAGCAGGGTGTATCAATCTGGGCTGGAGGCTATTTTCTTTCAGGGCTTGAAATATTTCTCTCCAAGCTCTTCTTGACTTGATGGTTTGTGTCAAGAAGTCTGCAGTAATTCTGATGGGCCTTCCTTTATAGGTGATCTGTTTCTTATCTCTAACAGCTTTTACTATTCTCTTCTTATATTGAATTTCTGGGATCTTGATTATTATATGCCTGGGTGTGGCTCTGTTTTGGTTGTAGGTGGCTGGAGTTCTGTATGCCTCATATATCAGAATATCATTTCCTTTTCCTGTGTTTGGGAAGTTTTCTTAATTATTTCTGTGAATAGCCTTTGTAGTTCCTTTGTTTGTACCCCTGCTTCTTCATTCACATTCTTTATTCTCAAGTATAACTTTGTAATGGTACTGCTTGTTTGCTTGTTATTTTTAAAAAGTTTTTCTTTTCATAATCACACATTGTGAACCTGTCCTCTAGTTTGGATAATCTGTCCTTAGTTTCTTTGAAGCAGATTTGCCATCTTTCCATAGAGTTTTTAATTTCCTGGTAATCTCTTTGAATCTGCTTTATGTATTCTATATTTTCTTTATATTCTTCATGAAAGGGTTCTCTCCTTTGTTTGTGTTCCTCCATTCTTCTGTGTCTTCTTGAGAGGTGTTCAGCATTTCTTTCATTAATCTATTTATATCTTGCTTTACTTGGTTAAATATTTCACTTTAGAACTTACCTATGAGGTCCCAAATATACTTCTTTATATCCACTGATGCCGTACCTGATATTGCATGTTTGCTGTCCTCAATCTCTTGTATTTACCTTTCTTGGATCAATGTTCTCAAGGTTAGGGGCTGGGGGGTTTTCTTATTGTTTCTTCTTCTCATATTTTTTGTTTCTTCCATACAGGCATATAAAGAAGGCCCCAGTCCCCCCCCCCCTTTTTTTTTTGTTGATTCTGGTTCTTCTGAAGTGAGCTGGCTAGGTAACCCTGCCTTCTCCAGTGTGTTATTGAAGTGCAAATAGGGACAGCATATCTTGGCCCCTCCCCTCTGGGTCAGCCAGCCCCCCTTCACCCCAGGCCTTCACCGCATCTTAATGTGCAAGCTCATAGAGAATTGGTCTAGGACACCCTACTGGTTCCCAGCCAGGGGCGTGACCCAGGCCAAGCACATCTGACCAGTCCCATCTGGGAAGGGAACAACTGACTGAAGTCTCTACAATACCTTGTTTCTGCCAGCCCTGCCCGGTTCCAAGATGTCATTTCCTTTCCGTTGGGAGAGTTTTATTCCTGACACTCTCTACAGATCAGGGTAGGTCCCCTACTGGCTCCACTTTCTGTTGGTCTCGCCAATCCCTGACCTCAGTGCGCTCACACCCCAGTGGGACCACAGCTCTGGCAAGTCGAAGCAGTGGGAACCTGGGCAGTTCCCTGAGTTGCAGCTGCTCGAGTTTGGACTTGCCAGCCAGTGTGGTTCTCTGGTTCGCTCCTCCTTTCTGCCCTTACATCTCCTCACCAAGGCCTTCAGGCTTACCAGCCACTAGCTTCACTGTGCCCATGCATCTCTAGGTTTCAACAGTGCTTCAGGCACAGTGGGACCAGCTCTGGTGAGAGCACCGCCAGCTACCACCTTCTTCTGTTCAAGTTTTTCTTTTTTAAAATTCTTTCTGTGGGCTTCAATTCTCACTTTAGCTTCTTCCTTGGTCAAGGAGATCTACGTCTTTCCTGCTTTTCCTTCTCCAGAATGCTATATTCCAGCATCGGGGCTGTTTTCCTCAGAGAGGCTTTTTAGTTTGCTGCTTACTGTTCTGCCATCTTTCCAGACCCCCTTAATTAACCTTTAAATTTGCATTTGTTAAGTTTTGCCCTAGGATCAGTGTCTGAAAGAACTATTAAAATATTTCTCCATCTTCCAGTTTCCTATCTGTACAAGGCTGGATTTTCTTCATGTTGTTCAAACTCAGTTATACACTGCAGTAGATTGAGGGCAGAAATGGAGCAGAGTCTGGGTATCTTTCAGTAAGCAAGACAGTCAAGAGATTTATAAAAATGTAGAACTCCTGTTTGCTCTACTGTTTTTGCTTTAAAGAGAGAATGGTTTTTCATTACCATATTACTTACGTTAAGCTGTAATGTTTATTAATTTTCGGTGAGTATATGAAAAAATACCTTCATAGTTTTTCAGTCTTTATTTTTAGTGTACTAGAGTTCTCAGGGAACAGAAGTCTTCTGTAATCAGTAATTTAAAAAAAAAAAAGATGTGAGAACTGCTTTGATCTGACTATGCGAATCCAGTTACATAAGATAGCAGTTGTGTTGTTTGCATGCTTTGCTTTTCATATAAATTGGTCATACTTACCTACTGGGGACCTGGCCTAGATCTTTAATCTCTCAAAAGAGTGTATGGTGAAGGCTTAAATAAATGAGACAAATGGTTGATTTTATGGCTCTAGGAGGATCAAAACTCTGTAGAGTTTGAGACTGTGGGCTAAGACAAGGAATTTCTCTGGGTGCCCCGTATTTATTTAGTTTTCAAACAAGGATGGGGTTAGAGTGGAAAATGGAAAATGCGAGAAACTGAACAGACCTTAGGAGTGGTTTGAGGACTTTTTCAAGTAATGGATTATGTTTAATTTAGGAGAACTATCTTATGTTAATTTAGGAGAAGTGTCTTAGGAGAAGATCTCCATGTTACCTTTTACTATAGGAATGAAATACCTGTAGCTACAGTCTTTATTTAGTTAATCAGAGCTGAGGCCAGGTGTCCTCAACTATAACCTTATCTTGCCCTTTGAGGAGTCTCTTTGTTCTTGGGTCAGCCATGCCACAGCCTTATGTGTTCAATTTCCAATTTCAACATTTATCAGCCTTGTTAACTTGTTGAAAACAAGAACCATAAACTTTATTTCTCAGAAGACCGTAGTTCTCCCTCTAGCATAAGCGTCCAGTGACAACTTTGGAAGGGATTGGAAGATTTCTCATGTGCTGACCATATTAGGGAAGCATTTAGTGCATTGGCTTTAAGATAAACAGATGACTTTTTTTCACCCAGGTGGAAGAGCACAATGGTCATGTCTTCAAGGCCACTCAATATAGCATCCCTACATACTGTGAATATTGTTCTTCTTTGATATGGATAATGGACCGAGCCTCAGTTTGCAAATGTAAGTATCAGAGATCTTTGAAGAATGTTTTTTAAATACCTAACATCTTTAGACCCTTGCGTTTTCTTCTGTCTTTAACATGAAAAAATAATTCACACTACCTACTTCTTTATCTTCCTTTTAGTGTTGTATTCTGCTTTACGCACTCTCTGCATCCAAACAAGATACTTGGTATTACATGGGCCTTGCACACTCACTCTGTCTTAACTGTTTCTTCTACACGTTCATTCATTCATTCATTCATTCATTCATTCATTTATGGTACTGAGGATTGAACCCAGAGCCTTGTGCACACTCATCCACACATTTTAGTATGACTTCATTTTCATTGAGGTTATGTCTTCACCCATGTTACCTCCTCCTCAAGAGATCTTTGCTTGCTCTCCTAACTAAACCATAGCCCTATTCTCTAATCCTTTTCTTTGATATGATAGACCTTGTAACACTTATTGCTACCTTTCATTAAAGTGTTACTTAAGTTAGGCTGCAGTATGTTAGTATAAATTGATATTAAATATTCATTTGTTTTCTTGATTTTCAGTCTCATATGCTGTACACAAGAAATTTATCTGTCTCTTCAGTTTTACCTATGCTTAGAACATTTCTGGCACATAGTGAGTTATAAATATTTGTTGGGTAGATGAACATACTATTGGATGGACAGATTATTTCTTAGATTATGGCCAAAAGGGTACTTTCTCAACTATAGTCCATTCACCAGACTATGTAAATCCTAAAATGTAAGAACAAACTTCTTGCAGGTCACCTTGGCTCTGGCTTTGGCTCACACTCCTCTCATTTATTAAGCAGTAATCAGTAATTCTATGAAGCTTTGTTTTACTAGAGGACTAGAATTCAATGAAGGAAATATTAGGCAGGATTGAAACTGCTGTGGCAAACAGAAACACAGAAGTGATACCCAGAATTTGGAGGCAGATTTATTTTACATCAGACAGGCATTGATGGGAATCAGTTGTTCCTCAAAATTCAGGCCCCGATCTCTGATGGTCAAGGGCTTATATGAGATAAGCAAGCAGGGAGTACAGAGGCAGAATGGCTTGTCAGCTGGGAATTGGGTCTTATAATATGCATTATAGTTAGCAATGTTGCATCATAGTGACTAGCCATTTGTAAGAGGCAGAACCAAGACACAGCTGGTTTTTACAGAGCTGTATTCTAGACTTTTAGAACAGGAACTGTTATCTGGGTAAATAAGAAACTGAAGTATACTGGTTGAAAGGGCCAATTTCTGAGCAAAATTGCTACTTTGAGTTTGTTGTCTGGTTTTGTGGTTTAACAACAGTCTTTTTCTTTTATATTTCTTTTTTAAAATAATGAAATGATTCATCAGTTTTCATGTCATCATTGCCCAGACACCTTGGTTAACAACTTTATCATTCCAGTTTTAGCATTGCAGTTTCATAGCATGCTATGAAAACAAGCACTTCTTTTCATATTATTATCAGTAGTTTAAAAAATTATGAAGAGAGTGAAAGTAAGAAATGATTTCAGATTTACTTTACTATTTGTCCACTTCTTGAAGGTTTAGAGGTATTTCTTCTATGATGTAGTGCTGAAAGTTTAAGGAATTAGACTTTTTATGACTTTTAAAAGAGGTATGATTTCTTCATGGCATTAATTTTCTTTGTGATTATCATGGTGATTCTACCAGTATAGTAACATCACCTCACCTACTTGATCTTAGCTTTGAAAGCCAATGTTATAGTTTAGAACTCAGGATATCTAGATAATGGTACCCAGGAGCCAGAGCTGGTGAAGCAGAATGACATAGACCAGCTGTGCTCACTGTGTCCTCTTCTTCCTGTGACTCTGCCTCCCTGCTTATTAGCTGTCCACTACCTTATTAGCTACCACTCTAAGAAAGTATTTTTGCTCTGAAATTTTTATTTGTCTTGTCTTCCCAATCACAACTGCTATTTTTATATTCTGATTTTTACAAAGTTGTATTCTAGACTTTTAGAGATAATAGATGAGGCCCTTCCTCTTTATTAATGTGTTACCTGCTTTAATTTCAGTAAGGATTGTTGACAATAATGCCTTCCTTCTTCATGGGAATGGTTCTTTAGGCATTTCTGGTATTGTAGCAGGGTGTAATACACCCAGGAAAAGACGAACACTAATTTGTGAATCAAACCACACAGAAGGCAGTTTTCCTGTTGGAACTTGGGACTTTACTTCAGGACTGGCATTCTTGAAAGAATTTAAAGTGTTTTTTATTGATAGTGACTAGAAATGTTAGATGTGTTTTTCCAACTTCATTTTTCCCAGTAAAGTGGGTTAAAAATCCCTCTTAATTGCTAACACAGTACAAACTGGTGCTCATGTGCGTGCGCGCATGTGTGCATGCGTGTGTGTGTGTGTGTGTGTGTGTGTGTGTGTGTGTGTGAGAGAGAGAGAGAAAGAGAGAAAGCAGTCTCACATCTAAAGAAGTTTAAAAAGATACAAATATGATGAATTCTTTCATTGAGTTGCAGATGTCTAAAAATGCTACATTCCTAATGTATTTTTCAGTATGTAAGTATGCTTGCCATAAGAAGTGCTGTTTGAAAACCACAGCCAAGTGCTCCAAAAAGGTAAGACGTTATCACCTATCAGTAACAAACAACATATCTGTAGGTCTTTCACACCATGGAAAGAAATCAAAGCCTCTTTGGTGGTTTATAGAATAATGATTTTCAAACTTTTGGGCCAGAAATCACAGTTAAAAAAATTTATTTTGTGTCGTGATCCAGCATACACATATAAGGGCATGTGTATATAACCATATTAATTTTCCCAAAACTGTTTTACCTTTACTATAGGTAAGCTAATAGATTGACTTGACAAGTCACAATTTGAAAAACATTGCTTTTTTTTTTAAACACTCCTAAGTCTTCCTAGCAATTGTCCTTCTTAAGGTAGTAAACTACAATAAAAGATGAATAAATTTAAACATAGTGTAGTGCATCAACATAATTTGTGGTTTTATATGTATCTGCTTGGTTACACCAACAGATCTAAAACATACTGAACCTTACGCTTTAAGGAGGCAACCATCTTTTTAATTTCAGGGCTTTATTGATGTATAAATGTACATCTTTTTATTAATTACACACTAATTATTATATGCAAATCTGAACTGTTACATACATGTATGTGCTTACTGTGTTGGGTCAGAGGGAGAAGATTTTAGCCTTGGAGATAATACTTGGCCTTTTATCTTTTTTGTGTATTACTTCAAATCATTATAAGGATAAGCAGTTCTGTTGCAGTCACATAAGTTACAGTTAATAAAGCCTGACAGAATTGACAGTATTAGAGTAGATGAGGAAGTTGTAACACAAATTATGACCCAGTCTATGCTAACCTTTTTTTTTTTTTGCCTTGGTTATGAAATCAATTGTCAGTAAACTTCTATGAAGTTTATCTTTGAAACTTTTAAAGCATTCTTAGGTTTCAGAAATTACTGACGACTCCGATTCATATGAAATCAGTGAATTTTCCAATGGTACTGGCTAAATGTTCAACTATTTGTATAGGAAACCCAAATCTCCTCCTCCCAAACCTAAAATTTGCCTTTGTGTGGAGAGATTTTTTTTTTTTTTTTTTTTTTGTCTTTTTCCTTTTTATCGGTACTGGGGATCGAACTCACGACTGCCTGCTTGCAGGGCAGGCGCTTATGCTGCTGAGCTAAATCCCCAGCCCCGTGTGGAGAGATTTTTGACAGGAAGAAAGTAGCAGTCCATTACCAACACCTTTTTTTCTCTACTTGTTTTCTTTTCTTTGTTTTTAGTTTGGTTCTTTGTTTTAGTTTTCTGAGGTCTCAACATGTAGTTTAGACTGGCCCTGCATTCAGTGAATAGCCCGGGGTGGCCTTGAACTCATGGTGATTCTCTTGCCTCAGCCCTTCAAGTGCTGGATTATACAGACTTTTTTTTTTTTTTTTTTTTTTGGCGGTACTGGGGATTGAACTCACAGCCTTGCACTTGCCAGGGAGGCACTTATGCCACTGAGCTAAATCCCCAGCCCAAGTGCTGGATTATAGGCGTGTGCCACTACGCCCAATTTCTACTCGTTTTCTTTGGGGAGTACCTAATAGGAAAGGATTGAAACTAGTTGTGTAACTTACTTAACTATAATTCCCATTTCCCTAGTACTTACAGCTATACTCAGAAAACTTCAGGGAAACCAAAAAAGTAGTTTCCCTTAAAGAATTGGCTAAGCCTTAAAAAAAAAATTGGCTAAACCTGTTCAAAGATGTTCATTGTCTTCCATTTAGTATGATCCAGAGCTCTCACCTCGGCAGTTTGGGGTTGAACTCTCCCGTTTGACCAGTGAGGACCGAACTGTTCCTTTAGTAGTGGAAAAGCTCATAAACTACATTGAAATGCATGGACTTTATACAGAAGGTATTTACCGGAAGTCTGGCTCAACTAATAAAATCAAAGAGCTTCGACAAGGTCTAGATACAGGTAAGACAGTGCACTCCGAATTAAGACCAAATATTTTTATTTATGTAAGTAATTTCAGGCTCTCCAATTTGTCATTATATGTTTATTGATCCTTTATTTAACAACCAGAAGAATGTAATGTTTTGTGTTACAGACCCATTTTGTGTCTTTCTAAAGAATCTTTGGTTTTATGCTGATTAATTCAGTACACATGTAATCAAATATATTTGCACAAGACATTGATAGGTACTGATAAACATCTCACTTAGTCTTTTCAATATCTTGCTAAGAGCCTGATACCTCTAATTTATGAAAAAGAAAAATTCAGCATGTTTCCAAGGACTGTGGCTGGTGTAGCCATGGGATCTCCAACTGCATGTGAGAGCAACCTGGAGAGACTTTAACAGCTCAGGTCAACCCAATACCTGTGGCTGCCACTCACCTTTCCTATAAGGAAAAAGGAAAAAAAAAAAAAAAGAAAGAAAAATTTAGATCAGGAATGTTAACAGGTTATTGATGATGCACAGCAGTGCTAAATGATTTTCTAATAATTTGCAAACAGTTCTATGAATTTAGCACGTTACACCATCGAGAATCTGATGCTTACAGAGGCTCTTGTCAAAAGTCCCAGTGTCTCCATGTTGGGATTCAATATTTGGTCTCTTGAACTCTGAACAGAATCTCCTATGCAGAACAACATAAGGCATTTTAGCACTACTCTTTGGGCAACATCTCTGAATCCTTCCAAACTTCCCACAAGCCATTCCCAAAGGCTTGTGAACCACATGGTCAGGTACAATCACAGCAACAATCCCACTCCTCTGGTACCAAATTCTGTCCTACTTTTTTCTCATTGTGGGGACAAAATACCTGATGCCCAAAGTGAAGCAAGGAAAGATTTATTTATCTTACAGATTTTAGAGGTTTCAGTCCCATTCTCAGCAGGCTCCAGGCAGCATGGCTTGGCTGAGGGGCAGCTGTTCATAGCAGCTGCCAGCAACAGGAGCCAGGAGCGAAAGAGCACGCCTCTGTGTCTCCCTTAATGTTGTATGGCAGCTCCCCACCCCTGGGCAGTTGCAGCACTCACATCACTAGCACTAGACAACAAACCAGTCCCAAACACTAGACTCAGCTGCCTTCATAACTGTATGAAGCTTTGAGAGGATACTTAAACAAGCTTTAACACCATAGCTAACCTTATTACCTGATAGTCTGTACTGTGACTCAAGATGTTGTACTTTGCAGTGCCTCTTCCTGCCTTCCTGCGTCACATAGTTTTAAACTGGTAGTAAGTTGAGCACTTACCTATGTGGAGCTCTACCTTCAGTCCTGGAATGAATGCAAGGAGTTGACTTTGGTTTTAATCTCAGCTTCTATTCAAGTCTATTGCTATTAGAAAAAAACAATTTCTTTTTTAAAATTTTTAACTTAGTATATGTTTGTAGTGTGTAATGATTACATTTGTTTTGGGGAGTCGGTACATGTACATAATCTTAATTCTTTTTATGTTTTTGTCCCTACTCCCCCTTCCTTTCCTGTCTGTTCTTCCCTTTCTGGCCCCTTTCCCACTTGTAAAAGTTCTATTTTCACTTTTTCCTCAATTCTTTCACCTTTCTCTTCCATTCTTCTCCTTCCCTGCCTCTTGTTCCCCCACCCATTTGAAAAAGCTCTCCCTACTTCTTTACCCATTTGTGTTTTGATCTTGATGTATATTTTTTGAAGTTTTCACATAAGAGAAATGATATTTAAAATTATGTCTGACTTATTTCACTTACATTATGGTCTTGAGGTGTATCCATTTACAAATGCCTCAAGTTTGTCTTTATGGCACTAGTACTTTATGGTTCTAAATATAGTACCGTATTTTCTTTATCTTTCCATCAGTTGATAGGTATATAGGCTATCTCCAAGATTTAGCTCTTATGAATTATACTGCTATAAACACAGACATGCATGTAATATGATGACTTTAACTCTGTAGGGAAGACACCCAGAAGGGGAATAGCTGGGTCGAATGGAATTTCTAGATTTAATTTTTTCAGGAATCCCTACACTGATTTCCATAGCGTTACACTAGTTAATTTTCTCACTAATGATGTAGAAGGGTTGGTTTGTTTTGCCCCCGCAGTCTCACCAACATTTGTTGTTATTTGATTTCTTGATGATAAGAACAGTTCTTTTTAAACCAAACTTGTTTTTGGTGGCTAAGAACCTACCTATCCACAGGGCTGTTTCTTAGGAACAAATCCATGAGAAATAAATTGTTATGAGAGCAACAGAAAATCCCTGGTAAAACTCAGGCAGACTGTTCTGCCTCCCAGAAACTTGGTCTGCTCCAGTTTGCGGGAAACTGTCAGTTTTGTCTTTTGTACCTCAGAGCAGCACAAATAAAAATCATTCATCCTATTTCCTCCCAGCCATCTAATCTATATAATCTTAGGATGTTTATAAATGGAACAAGATGAAGATGTTTTCTTTACATTGCCTAAGCCCATTTATCACTGCCTTATATTCTCTAACCATGACTTAAAATTAGCTTTGCTTTTAGAAAAAGGCTTGCCTTTTTCTGTCAGTCCACACCTAGATAGTACAAAAACTGAGAAAAATAATTTAAGAAACATTTGTAGCAGTTGTCTTAGTTACTTTTTACTTGTTGCTGAGACAAAATAACAGAAGCCCAAAGTTGGGAAAAGAAAGGTTTATTTTTTACAGTATTTGGAGGTTTCAGTCCACACTTAGTTGGCTCCAAGGCAGGCAGGCATGGCTGGGCCACAGTTCATGGCAGCTGCAAATAGCAAGGAAGAACCAGCGAAGAGCAAGACACACATTCTTCCTGCCATTACATTACATCCTGGCTCTACCCCTATGTGGGTGGAGCACTGACACCATCAATACAAGCACTACACAATGAACCATCACAAATGCACAATACAAATTCATGAGGCCTGGGGGCCACAGATATAAACCATGACAGCAGTTTAACAATGCTTTAGCATGAAAACACTTACTGTTTTATTTTATACATTGTAGCATGCAACAGATTGGGAAAACACTGTCTCTTCACATTTAAAAGCATTGTTCCAAATCATGGACCTGAATAGTAGAAGATATATTTAAGAAGCATGAAGCTTCTTTTAGTAATAGGATTTCCTAAAATCAACTATATAAATCTATTTGCATGTTTTGACTTTGTTGTTTACCTTCTGGTTCTAAATAGATGCTGAGAATGTAAACCTAGATGACTATAACATTCATGTCATTGCAAGTGTGTTCAAACAATGGCTTAGAGATTTGCCCAATCCACTCATGACCTTTGAACTCTACGAGGAATTTCTTCGAGCAATGGGTAAGCATAGACTGACTGGGTTAAAGAGAAGGGTATACACTTGAGACAGGAAGGCCTTGAACTGAGTGTTAATTCTGAAGCCATTCTCTAGTGGTTTATCCCTTAGACATCCAAATGGTGACTTATTAGACACTTAAAATACCATGTTCTGAAAGTGTTGTGAATAAGCCACTTTGCTGCTTCTCAAAAAGAGATTAAAAAACTGGGATTATAAAACATTGAGAGAGTAAATAAGATTTAAGAGTGGTCTAACATTAATTTAAATCATGAATGTGAGCAACAATGTGTATAAAGCTGTTTTATGTCAGGCCTGTCAGGTTTTGGAGTGTGGCTTCTCAGTGTCTTGGGTATATAGGATTTGATGATGGTCTTCATAAAGATATTTAGGCCCCAAGGATAAATGACTATTGATTAATTTTAGTGAGAAATCAGTCTACTGCAAAAATTGTTGAAAAACTAGAGTATCTCTGTCCCTTTGTTAAAACTGAGGATTGCTGAAATGTAGATGGAAACTCAGGCGACTCCTTCTGTTTACAGTGAAGGTGTCAAGGTGTAACTGAGTTGAGTCACTCCCCTTCTGCCATTCAGGCACAGATGCCTCTCCCAAAAGCTAAGAGCTGCTACAGAGAGTGTTCAGGAGGAGAAAGTAACATGTAAGAGGGTTTTTCAGTGTGATCTGCTGCTTTCCCTGTTTTTAGGCCTTCAGGAGAGGAAGGAGACAATCCGGGGGGTGTACTCTGTGATTGACCAGCTCTCCCGAACTCACCTCAGTACACTGGAACGCCTCATCTTTCACCTCGTCAGGTAACTTGAGGAAGCGTAGGAATGTTCAGTGATTTCTTTTAGATTATTTTTATCTAGATGAAGTGCTTCTTCATTTGGAAGAATTTCATCATTTGGAAAGCTGGGGTATTTTTTTTCTCTCTCCCTCCCTCCTGCTGTCATCCTCCTCCCCCCCCCTCGTTTCCCTCCCTAATCAGTGCCTTCAACAAGTGCTTAGGATTTCTTGGAGCTGGACTGTATAACCCTGCTTTGCCTTCATGCAAACCATGTAGTGGTCTCACCCTCATGATGGCACTGTGTAGCTTAGCCATTGGTATAACTCAACTATAAAAGCTTTCAATTAGTAATAATTGCGCCTCAGATAAACCTCATTGGCTATGATACTGCCACTGCATAAAGCTAACTCCTCAATTAGAAAGAATGTGTTATCTGTTGATATAAACCTATTCGAGAGAAATGGGTTCAGATTGTGCTTAGAAATTGACTGACTAGAAGCTCTTTTACTCTGCATGTAAACAGCAGCATCTGGGAAGAAACCTATCTGTCTTTCTGGTTGAATATTGCATATGACTGAAAATGCCTTAAAGTCTCTAACCCCACATCCTTTAAACATGTTCATCAAGTGACATTGGCTTTGAGGTGATTCACAGAGTTCTCTTGGTGAGCTCTCTGCTGACCTAGACTGTTTCAGGGAACAGAGTGAATATACGTTTTCCAGAGGCAGAAGAACATCTCTGGGATATGCCTAAAGTGTCTCCTTTCCACTCACATGGATGTCTTCCTAGTAATGTGCAGTTGGCATCATACCATCTCCTTTCTCTCACTTTTTTATCTGCTGTTCTCCCTTTTTATCCCCTTTTCATTTGTTTTGTTTTCTTTCTTAGGATTGCTCTACAGGAAGACACTAATCGAATGTCTGCTAATGCTTTGGCTATTGTGTTTGCACCATGCATTCTCCGCTGCCCTGACACAACTGACCCCCTACAAAGTGTCCAGGACATCAGTAAAACTACCACGTAAGGCTGCTTTTGCCTCTATAGGACCTTCTGAGTTGGTGTAGTCACAGATTCAAATGTCTTTAAGAAGATTGCTGGGCCTTGTTGTATATTCTTACCTGAGCTTGTAAGCTGTTAGATTCAGTTCGATTCAGTTCATCACTAAAGAGTCTTAGTTTTGAAATTTGTCTTTAGGACAGCTTGTTTTAAGTAAATTTTCAAATTTTGTTGCTTCAGATTACATAAACTGTGTTTTATTGTACTCTAGGCTAACTATGGATTAACGGGTCTGAATCCATTTGGTCTTAATACTTCCAATATTCCTTTATTTCCACTGGGCCTTTTTCATACTTTTATTCCAAATCTTGACTGAAAAGGAAAAGTTTTGAAAATACTAATACTTAAAGTCCATCCCTGGAGAGTTTGATTTAATTGATCTGTTGTGTAGCCTGGCCTTTGAAATATGTAACTTTTCCTTATATATAGTTTCTAAAATGCAGCCAAAGTTGCAAATCACCATCCTAAGCCTTGTCTAAGTAAGGGATATTGATTTAATCTTCATCTTTTGTTTACCATACTTAAGTGAAAAACAGTCCTGTGGTTTTTACACTTCTGCTCTTAAAAGTTTTTTTTTCCTCCTATTTCAGCTGTGTGGAACTGATTGTTGTGGAGCAAATGAATAAATATAAGTCTCGTCTCAAAGACATCAGTAGCCTGGAATTTGCTGAGAATAAGGCAAAGACCAGGCTATCGCTGATTCGTAGATCAATGGTAAGATGCCAGCATGGAATCATAGCATAAAAATGTGAGCCTTACTGAGACTTTAAGTGTGTGTTTATAATACACATAGGAATTATCCTCAGAATCTTTTTCTGAAAGAGAAGGGAAAAAGAATCAGCAAATATGGGTGCTATGGAAACTGTGATCTGTTGGCTCTTTTTAGTTATGTGTACAGAATATGTGTGGTTAAATGTATAGAATTTTATAAATCACATATTTGGATAATGTTAATGGTTTAATAATTAGCCCTATTTACTTTTCCTGTCCTTTTTATTAAAATTTAACCCTATCCTTTTTCTCTACTTTTGGTAATATGTTGCTGTTTCCAACTATGACATTTTTGGTGGTTCTTCCAAGACTCGAAGGAGTAGTTTTTTTTGTTTTGTTTTTTTGTTTTTGTTTTTTTATAATTAAGGAGAAAAAGAAAAAAAAACAGAAAAAGGGTACAAGTTATACAGAATTTCAGAAAAAAATAAACAGTAGGAAATCACTAGTTAATAGATTACATACTGTCATCTTAGAAATAGTTGTTCAAGTTACAAAATTAAAGCATATAAAGTGGACATTCAAACAGTGAGACTGCAAACAGTTCTGTTCAATGATCCAACAAAACTCAGTAATATGGTTATCTATCTTATACACTTAAATATACATGCAGTTATATCCTAGGAGTAGTCTTAAAACTGAACTTGAACTAAAACATTTGATTCATAAGGAAATGAAATTCCATATATGAGTCTACTGTTATCACATAAGGATTTTTTTCAACAACTTTGTTTTTGTTTTGATATGATTCATAAATTATTCATTTACCCCTTTTTGTATTTATTACTTTATATAGTCATCTATACGTAAGTAGTTCCAGTTATTAATAGTAATCAATATCTGAGTAACTGGAAAACAGTGACTGCATTAAAGTTTAACTGTTGCCCATTTGTTACCCTTTCTCTGAATTGTAAAATAAAATTATAGTGATGAGCTCCTGCTTCAGGTTCCCAGTAATTCACTATCAGTAAGAAGCTTCTGGATCACCAAGCCCTTACTTTCCAGGGGCCCAGCAGTATCTCCTCCACATCTTCATAGTTTGCACTTAGAATGGCGCTGTAATAAACCTTTTTTTTTCCTGTACAACTTAAACTGTGACACAGAAGTAGTGCTCAACAAAGGTCTGTTGGTTAAGTTAGTGGAAGGTCTTCTCTGATAACAAACATAAGGTAGGTAGTAAAGTTCATGATACAATCTAAATCTTTTCCCCTGAAACTGAAAATCAACTCAGGTTAGAAGTGAAACTTTCTGTAATATGAATTTTCAAGAGTTTAGTGCATACAGGCCCAATTTATTAGAAGCCCTCTAGGAAGGAAGAGAAGGGTCTTTTACCATAAAGCGACTATTCAGAGCATGTAGACAAGCTGTGCTTTTTGCCAGTGCTGCAGAGATCGGTATATTCAGTCCACTGAAACATAAAACCACTTTTAATAGGGCAAATAATGTACACATTCTAACCTTCTGCTTTCCTTTTCATTTCCTTCCTAATCCAGAAACCTGTACTAATTGCAGTTAGATTTATGAGCATAACCCGCAATTCGGTCTCGGTATGTATTAATACTGCAATGTGTCAAGCCACTTTTCATTATTGTGTCTCATTCATCCAGGAATTGGTCTACTATGTCTATCACTCATGCTTGTCCACCCTCCATGTTCAACCCTGGTTCAGGTCCCACGTTTTTATCAGCCTCACTTGTTCTTCATCTCTTAATCTCTTTTCTTGGATCTTTATTTTCCTTCCTGTGTTGTGCAGTTGAACAGTGTTCATTTAAAATAAAACATTTTTTCCTCTTTGTTAGATAAATCTCCTTTTTGAGTTTCTTTATTGGTTAAGTCATTAAAAGGAAAAAGAAGAAAACATTGAGGTATCAAATTGATTACTACTCTATCTGCTATGTTCCTAGCAACCTCTTCTACTTTACTGTTTGAAATATTTATTACTGCTTTTAGCATATCCCACTATTGACAATGCTTATTTGTCCATTCATATTTGTGACTCTGATGGTATCTTCCCAGTAGATGTATAATTCTTACCTACTTAACATTTATCAAACAAAACAAGAAATAGGAGTGAACAAATGAACAAGATTACTTACAGACTTACGTATAAGAGGATTTTATTGCTGGTGCCCCTCTTCAGTTTTATTAGTTATAAAGAAGAACAGAGAGATGCAAAGTTATAAACACAAATCTTTGTACAAACTAATTTCAGAGACTGTTCACCTATATGTACCATTCATCGAGAAGCCTTGTTGGGATAGCAGTACACATTAGTTTTGCTTTACTGCTTCTCTACTATATCACCCCTCCTTTTCCCACTGAGTATCATTTCCTTAACAGTATCTTGTCACTGTTTCATAATTCATAAATGCTTCATTCTCATTCCAGTATTTAAAACTCAATTCTCTTAATACTAAAACTATCACAGGCTTGATCCAGGGCTTGTCTAACTTCCTTCCAGACAGACAAGCCTTAATCTGGGGCTTAAACTTTGGGGTTGAGAGATCGTTTCTGTTTGATTCATACTTTTGCCCTTTCTTTTTCTTGAGCCCTTCTAACCCTGGTATTGAGCTAAAAGGAGGGCAGAATTCCACCTGATCCTCTGGTTTGCAATGGCAGTCCTCCTCTTTGGTAGTTTATCACTACTGTCCTGGACCAGTGTCAGTAGGCTAAGTGAAAACAACTAGTGGCTCCAGTTCTCTCCACTGACGGGGAGCAGTCCCGTCTCATTTCTATAGGGATCACCAATCCCTTTTAAGACTTGCTTGCATCATCTAGAAGAATCCAGACTGATGACATCAGTACCTTTTGGAAAACTCTCAAACTTCCAGAGAAATTAGATATTTAAAACTGCTGGTATTTGTTTGAAAGCTTGAAATTTTATCACTGACAACAGTAATTTGTTTCACTTGAAATAACAGGTTCCCTTTATACTATTTCTTAGAAACAGTATAAAACCTGCTATATGTCCAAGTCTGAATAATCACACCTTATCATTATTCTAGTAAGATTTCGTGTACAAAGCTAATTCAGCTGGCAAATCAGGCATTTTCACAAAAATATTGGTTCTCAAATAACAGCGCCTCTCAAATAGAGGCGCTTCACATGTACTTCTTGTTCTGTCATATGAAAAATAAAAAATAGTGAAGTTAATAGATTATACTGCTTGATTGTCAACATGACATGAAACTGACCTTTTTTTATATAGTTTTTTTTTTTTTTTTTGTCTTTTTCGTTTTTATTGGTACCAGGGATCGAACTCATGACTGCCTGCTTGCAAGGCAGGCGCTTATGCCGCTGAGCTAAACCCCCAGCCCCGAAACTGACCTTTTTATAAACTATGAATGCATTTGTAGTAAAGAATATGGTAACTATGAATGCAGTTTGATACCATTGCCTTGATTCTTACACAGTTACCAGCAGGTTTATTTTTTTTATCTACATATACTTGTATCTAATTAGTGAAGATGTCAATAAATGGAAAGGGCAAATAGCATCTTAGTATCATGAAAATATTGTGCACCTTACAGATCCTTTGAAATGGTTTCTGGGACACCATCACCCTCCCAAATCCCATCAGCAATACATGGAACCAGAACACTACAGTACATCCAATATTAGTGGATCTCTGCACTACACAGAAATCCTTGGTGAGAGTGCACCCAAACACATACTGTGTACCTTTAAAGCACTTTACTCATTCACTGTGTAGTCAGCCATAACCATAAGCACTGCAACATTTTCCTAGGCAAGCTTGGATACCTGATTATATAATACATGCAAAACAGCCAGTCTTCAGAAATCTTGGATAAAGAACCTTTCCTTAGTAGGAAAGCAGACTTTTCAGGAAGTGGGCTGAGAATTCGGGCTCATATTTGTTTTGGTGATTTAACAAAAAATATTCAATAGAGATCTTTATCTTGGCTATTTTGGCTAAATTTCTTTCGATATTTAAGATGAGACCTGTCTGTGAAGTCCAGGTTGGCCTTGAATTCACTATGTAACCCAAGTTATCTTTGAACTAATGGAGATTCTCCTGCCTTAGCCTCCAAGTGCTGGGATTACAGGCATGTGCTATCATGCCCAGCCTTTGGCTAAAATTTCTTTTTAGGATTCTGAGATTTGTTCTTGAGCTACTTATATAGCCAGTTTTAATCTGGCTAGCATAGTTCCTCCTTTTGCTAGTATATCTAATCCATGCACAAACCTCAGTTACATAGGCTTTCTTTGGATCTTCAGAAACTGTCTGACTCCTCATGAGAGTAATAATTGCCTTTTCCTGCATAGTCAAATGTGTTACAGTGATTGCATCATTGAAATTTCATCATTTCCATGTGTCTAGTTTCATGAGTCTTCAGCTGTTAGGCTTACTTTGATTCATGGTATATTAAACTTCTTTGTGCCCATCAATCATGCCTTGCCTTTCCTCCCTGCATCATTTTTGCATTATGAGGCTTAAATCATATTCAGAAATGATCAAAACTCTTCTCATGGGCCCTAGCCCTCTTAACACTACAGTGTATCTTCCATTAAAGCCTTAGGAGAAAATGAAAACAGCATATGTGATCTCCTACATTAATGTGTTTGATTCCCAGTCTTTCTGTTACAGTCTGTGAATGAACCTCACAAAATTCTGACCCAAATCTAATAGTTAAAGCTTTCAGTTTCAGAAGATCATTCCTAGAAAAGAATGGACAGTAAAATTATATATGGACTTCCTCAGACAAGGGATCACCAATGTGTATGATTAGGTGACTGACTTCATGTGGCGGGCCTGGGGGTTTAGCTCAGTGGCATAAGTGCCTGCCTTGTAAGTACACAGTCGTGAGTTCAATCCCTTGTACCAAAAAAATATATATATATTAAAAATTAAAAAAAGAAAGAAAGCATGTGTCAAAGAGGGCAGGAGAAAGGGATGAGACTGTTCTGTATACTGAGTATGAGGAGAATACTGAGGAGGAAGTACTTGATCCTGCCTAGAGTGACTGGGAAAGACTATAAAAGAGATGAGTTTGGACTAATCAAATGGAGCAAGTCCTATTACACAGTATAAAAAGCTTAATTCCAGAAAAAACCTGCAGCTCATAATTGTTGATAGGTAACTGTGTAGAAGGGAGACCTTAAAACCAAAATAGCATCTGTTCATCCTGAGACTTTAGCCCTTGTGGGGTCCTGATGGGTGAACCAGGCCTCATGAAGTCTCTTCCTATAAATCAGTTAACCCACTTAATTTTAGTGCTTTATATCGTATTTTCACATTTATGATAGAGAGTGGGAGCAGATACCAATATAAAATACACTAGCTATAAGTAAATTCAGCTATAAAATAAAACATTTCTTCTGGATCTCCTTCAAAGTTCTTAATAAGTATAACTAAAGACATAGGTGAACTGTTGGGATGGGGTAGGATTTTCATCTAGAGAATTCATTTATAGAGAAAAACTGGTACCAGAAAAAAAGATTGTTCAAGGTGAATCTGCAGTGACATGGTTAACGTGTAGGCTGATGTCCAGATACCTGCACTTCTGTAACCGGCAGAGTTTTCAGAGACTGCCTGTGGCACACTAATATTGGAGATGCCCTACCTCTTAATTGGGGTTTTATTATTTGAACCTCCATTTATCTGTAAAATATTTAACAAAAAATAAGTCATGGGAAAAATCAGCCCACAAGAAAAATAAAAATTTTCAAGAACAGAGAAAATCTAAACTGAAGTTGAGTAACTGAAAAAATTACAATAAAAATACTACAAATACTAATCTTGGTATTCAGAGAAATTTTTATTACCTATAAACTTATAAATAAAAATGAAAATAAATCAGGATATTAACAGAATTAAGGAGATCAATCAGAAATAGCAAAGTAAAAGGGGGACATAAATTAGAAAACAAGGAAACTAGTAAGAATTTGTTCCTTCAAAATTCATTGGCTGAGAAAAAATGGTGAAAGTACAAATTCAGAGATAAGAAATAAGGAATTATTAACAATGTGAAAAGAATCATATGAAAGACTATTGTATTATTGTTATCTATTGCTGTATAACGAATTATCTGAAAACATAGTAGTGCTGGAGGAGTTCATTTCAGCATGCCGCACTTGTATTGCTGTTTTGTTTGTGCCTGCTGTTGCCAGGCATCGTGGGGCCTTGCCACATGACCGACACAAGGTGTAAATCCCAGGAGTTGAGGATGATCAGGTACTGACGTAGGGAATGGCTGCTGCAGTTTAGTTTGTCTCTGAAATAAGTTCAAAATAAGTTTTATAGAATGTATACAGACTGATAATCAAGGAAGAGATAGAAAGTCATCTGAGAGATTCCTCTCACATAAACCAGACATAAACAGTTTCCTAGAAGAATTTTACCAAGTGTTTTGAAGACATAATTACACATTTAGCTGTTCCAAACCACAGAGAAAAAAAATTTTTTTATTAAAAGAGTATAACATTGAACTCACCACTCGCCCAAAGAAAATCTAATAAAAGTTGCATGGAAAACTATTAAAGGCAGCAGAGCAAGCATGGACCCTGGACTAGCAGTAGTTTACTG